TTCGGGTTTGCCAACCCGCGAACTCGGTTCAATACTTTGATGTTTCCCCACCACCCTGGATAGTAACAAAACCGATTGGCTCCTGCCCTTGGCCCCCTTCCCTGTGTTGCCTAAGCTGTGCAAGTTGGAATATAATAGCTATCCTGCAAAACCGGCTTGACATGTTTCATAAACCGGTGGAAGCGGTACAGAAGTGAGTATTCTTGTTTTTACTTTTCTCACGGTGTACAATTTCTATAGCTCTCCCCTTTTGTCTCACCGCACGCATGAAATTCCTGCTTACACTATCTGCCAAACAGAGTCCAAACAAACAAAGCACGGATGCTTTGATACTTGTATTTTTACCCCCGCCACCCTGCGTGACTTGTCAATCAACTGCCATTTTGCCCGGCATAAGCCATTGTTCATCGTTCATTGTAATCCCTGGGGACAACTGGAATAACGTTGCAAGTAGGGGTTTTAGAATTTGGTGATTAATATGCCGCTCTTTTTGGTTCCAACTGCCGACATATTTGAGAGATGTTCTCAGCGTTCGTTCGGTCCCATCTGGAGTACGGCATACCCGCTTACACGCTCTTTCTTTTTCGGGACTTATTGTATCTGGAGAGAGTTTGAGAGTAAGTATTAACTTGGTCGAGTGGTTACGGAGTCAGGTATACCCCGAGCTTCTGCTTACCTTAGATACCTATTCAATGCACTACCGACGGCTACGAGGAGACCTAGTCCTTACTTTCTACATTTTAACAAGGAAAGTTGGATCGGAGTTCAGCTGGCTATTTAGTCCAGCTTAGTAGCCTTGTCTTTGCGGTCATCCCATGCAGCTAGACAATCCACGTTTCTAGCGGATTAGGGCGGAAACTCGGATATCGCGTATAGTAATCCAGTTTTGGGACTCGCTTCCAGGAAATGCAGTCAGTGAACCTACGGTTAACGTTTTCCACCGGCATTTAGACGCTCTTGTCTGGCAACACAAAACTTTCTCTTCTGCTGACCATATCCATCTTCCAAATATGTCAAAGTATGTTTTGTCATTCTCCTCATTGCTTGATGATAGCTTTTATATGAAAGACTGGCTTTCCTCTTTATCCTGCATTTGCTTTCTACGTCTCCTTTACCGCAAGTGACTGGCAAAACGAGAACTGCTAATACAAGGAACGCTGACAGTAACTGTTTGACCAGGGTGTGTTTCGGGTATTTCCTTTTAGCTACAACTTGACCTTGTAGTACCTTATCATATCCTGTCTCAACGATCCGCTCAAGAACAAACAATCAAGGGATTTTCCCATCGCCCCGGTCCCATCTGAATCTGGCCGAGCTATTTCCACTGCGAACCACGTATACGCGTTCCGCATTGCTAGCTGGGAAGGCACAACAAACCATCGAGTGACCGTGGCGTAGTCACTTCAGGACAGGTCAGGTCAGTTACAACAGACAATGGAGGCCCTCGCCTAGCGAGTGTCTTATTTCTTGTGCCAATACGTGAAGCAGCACCTGACAATTTGACGTTAGATTTTACGCTACTTGCTTATGCAAACGAATGAAGCAAGAACAAGAGTAAGTGTTGCACGTTCATGTGTTAGCAACAAAATACACTATATTCGCCAGTACCATTACGACCTCTCTGGTCAGACCAACCCTCAACGAAGCCTTTTTTGAAGGCTTCTACAGGCTCACACTCCAATAACTCAGAAGGAAGTTTGGTCCAGATGTCAACTACTGGGTTCGTACAAATTTTGCCCTGCTTTCCAAACCAGCTCTATGTTGTTTGCGCTTTAGGCATTGTCCGCACAGGCGGACCCACATAGCTAACGAAAATAGGTGGGTGGGACTACTACCACTAAGTCCCTTAATGACCTTAAATTTCTTTATCAAATCCCCTCTTAACCTACGCCGTTCCAAGGAAAATAATCCCAAGCTACTTAGACGACCTTCCTATGACTTCACTCGTTGACCTTCGATCATCCGCTACGGAAGTTTCTGAATTTCTTTTACACACGTAGCATCACTACGGAGTCATGGTACCCAGGCCTTACCATAATACTCCAACTGTGGCCTAAACACAGCTTTATATAACGGCAAGTAAACTTCTGCTTTATTTAAAACAGTTAGTTCCCTTTAGTAACTTGAAAAGCACAAGTAGAAGACGAAGTTCGGCAGATGCGTGCATTTCGTATCGTCTCATCAGTGCCGATAACGATAACCGGTAATTTTATATAACAGTTTGTAGGTATAGACATCCATATAAACAAACGCGAGAAAAAGGTGTCTTTCGTCTACAACCAGGGCAGCCTGTGGCTGATCGATAATTGTGTTTGAACACAAAGCACTGGCCTAATCCGACTAATGGCAATCGCCTCGGCAAACCGGAGGAGCCGGGAATTAGTATGGCGAAGCAGGATTGTGAACGCCTTGTTGACCTCAATTCGATGACCTGTTGTCAATAAGGGCCTGCCGATGGAAGATGCTGGCGGCCTGCGTACACACGTAGTCTGATTTGGGCTTGCATGCTGACTAAGGCCGCATTGAACCCATTTTGGTACGTGCTCCTTTATTCGGGAACTCAGTGTTCTATTGGTTCTGCCTATGTAACTATCCCCGCAGTTACATACGGATTGATATACACAATGGGAGTTGGCGCCAATAGGCTGAGTTTCCTTCAGTGGAGGCAACGGTAGCTTATGGGTTCGGTCAAGGATTACAACTTCGGCTTTATTGTTAATTAGCGCCCTCCCAAGATGAAACAGCTATTGTCGCGCTTTATTAGCAGTTTGGCGAAACTGTGCCGCAGGCTTATAATTGTTCACATTGACTACTCCTAGGTCGCGGGCTTAATCAATACACTGCAATGATCAAGATGCCGCAGGAAACTGCACTGAAATGCAGGCATCACTATTTGTCAATAATTGACATATTTGGCATTCAGCGGCAGGTGCCATTGGCTCTACCACTTCACTACAGTAAGGACGTCTTTAGCCAGCGTCGCTCGGCTGCCGTACGGACTAACTGTAAGCCATCTGCGAAGATTTAGCAGGGATTTCAAGAAGTGCAGCCACGTCAAGTATAAACATAAGAACTCACAATGGGTTCAGTACCGTAGCTTGGGGCAGCCACTGTTGGCAAGACCCACAATAGAACAAGCTTCCCCAACCCTGACTCTGAAAGTCATTCCACTTAAGAATGCAGTATGCCACAGTAATAGTTGAGGACGCAACCTAAACCATGTCAGCTTCTCAATTAAAAAATCGTTGATTCACTGAGTCAAATGCTTTGCTGAAGTTCAAATAACACACCGCTACCAACGTCCCACCATAAAAATATTGCGTACTGTCATCTAAAAAGTGCACTTAATTTGTGTGACACGATTCACAGCGCAGGACTCAAAGCACGCGAGGACACCGGTACATAGCACGCGAGGACACCGGCATAGCACGCGAGGACACCGGTACAAACTTATCGTACCGCAGTTGAAGCAGGTCGGTCACCAACTCTGTTTCGAACGTAGAGTGGTGAATACCTGGAACAAACTGCCGCAGCCGGTACTAGAGGTCTATTCAGTAGCCGAATTTAAGAAGCTTCTGGACAAACCTTTCGCAGAGGCAAAATATAAAGAGCGGAACGATAATTAATACGTTAATGCCCAAGAGCGACAATTGATGCGGCTACACAGAGTATGCTCTACTCGCTGCTTCTATGCAGTATCAGTATCAGTATCGCCGGTAGGTGCGCAACTTGACCACTAGATATAATTAAAAATGACCAGAGTACAGAACTGCATATGGCAATATTTCCCAATGCGTTATACCATGATTGTATCAGCCACCAAACAACCTTGCCTAATGTTCTGCTCATAGGATCAAGCACTTCCACAACTCCTTACGTACTTCGCGGAAATGTAGTGCGTCAAGTGACTGAACAAACTAACTTGGGTATCTCGCTATCCTCTGATTTCAAATGCAGCGAGAATTGGACAAATGCAACCCTCAAGGGTTTCCGAATGCTGTGGATGCTCCGCAGGTCGTTGGGCATCATAACAACTGAAATGTTTGTTACCTTGTTTCCAGCGTTTGTCGAGTATTGCATGCAGGCCGGTCCTCCATGCTTGGGACGCTACAAGATAACACTTGAACGAGTTCCGAGGGTTGGTCCAAAAATGGTACAAGGATTGAGGCATCGCTCGCATCCTGATTGACTGCTCAGGTTGCAGGTGTTTTCGTTGCACTATAGGTGCCTTCGAGGAGTCCTGCTTCTTACGTGCCGTATATTGACCGGCAAGATTCGACCTGCTCTAACGAGGCTGTTCCGTCCGGCCCAGCTACCATCTCTTCGTGGCCACCCTCTGAAGCTACATAAGCCCAGGCCTGATCGCGTTAGGGCTGACTTATGTTTATCACACAGGGTTATGGAATCATGGAACGCACTACACAGCGAAGTAGTAATAGCACCAAAGATGAAAGAGTTTGAACCTAGACTCGACGCCCATGGGTGGCAGCTTCAGAGCTTCCCATTTGGTTCGCACTTCTACATCCATTTCCTTGGCTTCTCACATCTACTACTGTTATTGTTCAATCTACACCTTCTCCCCATACCACAATTATCCTTATTCTGTTGTTGTTGATTCCTTTCTCGGCCTTTATTGTCATTCACGCGGCCGGTAGAGCGCGGACTGAAATTGGAGGCCGCGTGGGCATTGATCGCTTGACCTTGATGTGATACGTGTGTGTTGATTTAGCTATTCTCACTTTCAAATCGCTCTCGCGAACTCCATCCTGGGTCAAGGATTCATTGAAGAAGGAACACATGGATTTTCCTACCGCTTCTGTGCAAATTAAATGTAAACTTAAACAACTTACTTAATAATACCGTTAAAAGCACTGAAAACACGACAACTTTTAAACAAATGGTGGAATAATCCATTGTTTTACAAACAACATATCCTCTTGTTTTATTCTTAAGTGAGCTTTGCATCAAAAGCCCTTACCCGTTAAACCAAAACCTGTTTCGTCCCTGATCTGATCTGATCTGAGCTGATCTGACCTGATCGGATCTGACCTTCCCACAACGACCTTCAGATTAGCTCCCCGCTTACTGTTTCCTTCAGTTACGTCTGTGACTATTTTAGCGGCGTTTTCTGACAATGATTATCTCTATGAGGTACTTTTTGCTTGATTAATTATATGCACTGTCAGACGTGTTGCTAGGAGGTCTGTGCAGTCGATTCGGCGATGCCAAGTGAGCAGCTCAACAACTCCCAGTTCGGAACGCGCACCTTACATCCCACAACATCGGAGCTATCCTCCGACATTGTTATTTTTAGATCACGCAAGAGGAATTAGATGCGAGTATTTCAGACATTCCCCTCATTGGCAGTTTTGCAATGTTAACGTTTGCTCACTTTCAAACGAACTTGTTATCTCCAACCACAATATTGGTATCCTGTCATCTACGGAATCCAGTAGAGTAGTGCATAAGCAGAATAAATCGGATCTCATCCAAATAGAGATCTTCAGTGCGCTGCCTGATGATAGCTCCAAAACCGGGCCAGATCGCGTTCACCCGGATTCTTACTCGAGCACTGCGTCTTCCTCACCTAGTGAGGACCCGAAGGTATTTCGTTATACAGGTTGATAAACCATATTTCCAGAAGCCATCGCAGAAGCTTACGCTGTGGCAGAAAGCAAAAAAGGAAATTGTCCACTACTATCACGGATTCCGCTTACTTGGTCTTGAGATCAAAATAGCTTCCGGAATCTGTCTCAGACTCTTATGGGGTCACTCTCTAACTCGCCGAGAAAGGAAACAGGTTTTTCACTTACAACAGCCGGTTTACGTTCTAGCTTGTGCGCACCGTTGCAGATATCATCCGCTTGGTTCCCTTCCTCGTGTTTGTGATCGTGCCGTTCATGGAGTTCTTGCTTCCTTTTTATCTGAAGTTCTTCCCCTTCATGCTCCCTAGCACCTTCAAAGAAAAAACGTCTGAGGTTGTGGTCACCTAGTTGTCATCAATCTTTTAGACGGATAAAATTCGCCAGCGGCTAAAGGCCAAGCTTGAAATGACACGATTCTTACAGGAGACTCTTCAGCAAACATCTGGAACAACGTCAGTTGCTGAACGTTCCCCCACTATTTCCCAATTTCAAGAATTCCTCGAAACGGTATGTCTCTTCCGTTTTCAACTATTTAGCCACATTAATGGTGCATACCAATTTTTTCATTCCTTTGGTGCCGTAGAGCTGCGGTCCGACACACGAGCTACTTCGCCTTGTCAATGCTTCTTAATGATCTTCCACGCAATGCGAAAGCCAATGTACCAATTCGTACATTGTCCGTTTTACGGTAACACAATTATTTTCCATCTTCGTCACTCTTGTAACGGAAAGCACAGTCAGCTCTTTTCTATTAATCCGACGCTCGTGCTGTCTTTTTGAGGTTTTACTTTCAAAGAACAGTTTCGGAACTGTGTTTACAGGAGTGTCGTGCAAAAATCAGACGTCAAATTTTGCTTGCTTCTATACGGTTCTCTGCCGTGTATAGTAGTGCATGCGAGCTCATCTGGGTTATTCTTCTGTTTTCGATTAATTGCTGAAAGAAAGCGCACTTATGGCTTCCAAGTGCATAGACTGCAGCAAATGGGACTCCTCTCGGTCGAAGCCAGTGCAGTACAATCGGTGTGACGGATGGCTACACATAACGTGCTCTAAGATTGAAGCTGACCTATACGAATGCTTGAAACGTACTAAATCCTTTGTTATCACTTCATTGTAATGTCTGTCGAGATTTGGTTAACATGTGTGTTTTAGCTGGTCTCGCTCCATGTAACTTGCGATTGACGCCAGCACAATCGAATTCTGTTACAGACAAAATTTCTGCAGCTTCTACTTTGTCGATATCCTCAATTACCTCTGCTACTGCTGCTAAAACTCAAAAGCATGGCTCCTCCACTTCATCCGCCGAAACTCTAGCTAAGCATCACAACGATAAGAAAGAGGTTAGGACTGAAGTCAAGACGATGACCTATGCGACCGTGGCGAGTACGGATGTTGCCGAGGCATCTGGCGCCGACCATGTTCCAAAGGGAGCTGAAAAGAAGACAGCCTCAAAACCACACCAGCTCAACGGAAATTTGTTTTAGATAAGGTTATTCAACTGGAAAGGCTGATAAAAGCAAAACCGATCCCACCAAGGCCTGAAACCCTTGGAGTTAACAGAACCCCTCGTGACCGCTGCCTAATAGTTACCAATGTTCCTGAATCGGATAAAGCGACCTCGGCTGGGAGAATTCTCGATGAACAAACTTTCCTATCACGAATGATATCCCGCCTATTTGACGAAGGCGAACAGGGTATCAGCATCATGTCTGCTTTTCGCCTTGTTTTGTTGTTGTTTCACCTTGGGAGAGAGCATGCTGATCCATCCAAAACTCGTCCCCTTGAAGTCGTCTGCCAAGAGGAAGAAGAATGTCGTCATATTCTTAGACGGACCTCGCGCTTTTAAGGTGAAACATACGTCTTGAAAGACCTTTCCCCGGAAGATGGAATCAAAATGCAACAGGCCGTCTGCGAACTCGCCGAGCGAACGGCAAAGCTGATCTACATATTGTGGTTTTTCGGCTGGTACGCAAAATTCCAAGAGCCCGTTGGAAGCCAATCTTGTTACTCAGCCCCCATACGGATTGAAATATTTGCTAATGTACGCAGCCTCGAACAAACTGGACAAGGTTTCTCTACTTATTTCTGAGCATCAGCCAAACCTGTTGGCTTTCACTGAGACTTGGTTGTCTCCAGCAATTTTGGATATAGAAATTAACATTACAGGATATCAACTATCGAGCTGGCCGCACCGGGGGCGAACTGTAGGTGGGGTCATACTCTACTCGACGGTTTGCCTCAAGGTTCACATCATTGAGGCTTTCTGCGATTGTGATGGCGTTTCAGAAGTGATGTGGTGCAGGATCAACAACGGCTACCAATTGCTCACAATTGGTGTGGCATACAGAGCTCCATCGGGAACTGGTACTCGTGTCTTGCAATCGGTAGAAACTAATGATCGAGGTAGAAATTGTCTGCTCATGGGTGACTTCAATGCACGCAGCATCGACTGGGATCTTCTTCACTGTTATCTTCCCAAGGATTCATTTGAAGCAGTCCTACTCGGAGTTATTCATGGTTGCAACCTGATTCAGCATGTCGCAACGCCGACACAGATGCTCCCTGGTCAAACGCCTCACATTCTTAATCTAGTGCTCACCCCTGCGCTCTCGGACGTCACAGTCCTGAAGATCATCCATCCACTTGGCCAAAGCGACCACTGCAGTTTACATTTTTTAATGAACACGCCGGTTCGTCATACTTGACCAAGGGGTATGTCGTAATTTCTGACGTGTTGTTCCATCTAGACTACAAGAAGTGGCAGCACTACAGACTGGAGTATATCCCACTCTCTGGAGCTCGACGATGCATGGAACCTACTCCACTCGAAGTTGATGTCGGTCATCGAGAAAATCGTCCTTAGGTAGACCTTCCCTTAAAGGTCCTCCTTGGATCGACCACGAGCTAAGGTCCCTGATGAACAGGCGAAGAAAACTGTGGAACCAATTCAACTTTGCACAAGCTACATCTGGCTACCTGAAGTACAAAGCAGTCAGAAACCAGTGTACCTCGAGTAAGCGCCAAGAACGGGGTCAGTACGAACCTACCCTGGTTGTTCAATCCCGCAGCTGCCCTGAGAAACTCTTCTCGTATCTGCGGCGAAACAACAGGGCAGGCAGTGGCATTCCTGCCCTAGCTCCTCACCACGTAGACGCTGTTCTCTATGGCAATCATGAAAAGCTCACCTGCTAGCCAACCAGTACTCATCGAATCCGTCGCGACGAGACTGGACCTTAACGTGGTGCGACGGTTTGCGTACCTCATTGATCCATTGAGCTATACTGGGTGATGCCTCCGAGCATCTTGAGAGCTACTCCTACCAGGCTGGCCAATGGTGAGAGGTCAGACAAACTTAGTCTCCTGGTCCTCCAGGTTGGGGGTTTGAAATGGGATGGCGTCCATTTCTGTAAAACTAAATCACTGCCACCCCGCTGCCTTGCGGACAGGCTTTTGAGCCAAAGGCTTTGGATGAGGGCCCTAATCGTCCTCCTGTCTAGGTCTGGGCGTCCTGGCAATATCCCAGCCCACATACAACCATGACCTTTTCTTCAAACATAAACTTCATCCTGCATCGGCCGTCGCGCAGATTATCAAGGGTCGCCTTATCTGCTGCATACAGCAGGGCGGATAAGCGTAAACATGCTACTGCTGGCGCCTCCCTTCTTTCTTTTCCACCATTTCCTCTTACTCCCATCCCTGCTCCCATTACTAACCTTCCTTCTATAATTCCCAGCTTAATTGACAGCAACCGAAGTGCTACTGGAGTAGAACCATCTGCAGCCACTATCCCACAGCACCTATCGGACGCCTATCGGCAAAAGCCCCTTATAAGGCCACGCTGCCCAGTTTCCATGGCGACATTCAACGTCCGCATTCTAAGACAAACAGGTCAGCAGGCTGCACTCGCACGCACCTTGGACACACTGGGTGTTAATGTGTGTCGTGTGTCCGAAACTAGGATTAATGACCATAACGGGGTTATTGAATTGACTGCACCCGGCTTATCCTCTCGTTATTGGTTGCACGCATCCGGAGACGCCGATGCGGCACTCACGGGTCATGCTGGTGTAGGTATCATTCTCAGCTCCAAGGCTGAGTCATCGTTGGTTGATTGGATTCCGGTGACCAGCCGTTTATGTGCAGCCCGTTTGACAACATCAGCTAAAGTGAATTCGCGAAGTAGTACAAAACGCTGTTTGTTTGTGATTTCCGTTTATACTCCCACGGACTGCAGTTCTAATGCAGTCAAGGACACCTTCTATCACGAACTGAACGCACTACTACGCAGTGCTACTAGTTCAGATATTATAGTACTTGCAGGGGATATGAACGTACAAGTAGGGCGTCTGAGCTCTTCAGAAGATCAGCTGGGTGGTAAGTATGGACTTAACTCTGAACGGACTGACAACGGCGAGCGTCTGCTGCAACTGTGTGCGGAGCACCAGTTGTTTCTTACTAGCACTGCTTTTAGACACAGTGGGCGCCGAAGTGCCACTTGGCGTCCACCTGTAGCTGGTCAGCCATAGTGGTGGCGCGGTTCCATTCTGGATTGCCGCTCGTACTGGAGTACCTGTGTCGACTTTGACCATGTCTTGGTGCGCTGTCGTTTCTCCATGAACTTTACCGGAAGGCGCACAAAGCCTCTCCCCCGACTGGCAACGGAGAAATTGTCCCAGCCCTCGGTCAGGCAAACCTATCAAGAAGCACTGCATAGCGAACTCTCGCTGTCTTGTCCTAATGACACTGAACTTCAGTGGAATAGGATCTCGGCCGCTATGCACGACGCAGGAGCATCTGTTTGTGGCACTATCAGTCGTCACCGCACCAGTCACTGGATATCCGAGAGGTCCGTGAGCCTGTTGGAAGCTAGAAGACACCTCCCGGCTAGTTCTGAACACAATGTGACCAGACGGGCTATTAGGCGTGAACTAAAGCGGAGCCTACGTGCTGACAAGGAAGCCTGGTGGACCAGTAGGGCTCAAGAAATGCAGGAGGCAGGAGCAGTAGGCAATTACCGGAAGCTCTTCCAGCTAATCTGTACCACTGGTCCCAGAAAACCAGGCGTCAGTGAGACAATCAGAGACAGCGCGGGTGCGCTGATACACAATAAGGAGCGCCGTATGGCTCGTTGGGCGGAACACTTTCAAGATCAGTTTAGCTGGCCCCCTGCTCCCGGACCTCTTCCTACTCAGGTGATGCAGGACGAGCCATGGACGGTTAGTTTAGAGCCTCCGTCGGAGGCCGAGGTCCGAAACGCGGTCACAGCCCTTAATCGTTTTCGTCCCGCTGGCCCTGATTCCCTCCCACCTGCACTATTTAAGGATGGAGGTGAGGTCCTCTGCAGAGCACTGACCTCCCTATTCGAACGTATCTGGAACGAAGACAGTGTGCCGGCTAATTGGAGCGAATCGATTATAGTGGCAATATACAAAAGGGCAGTCGCACAGACTGTGCGAACCACAGGGGGTATTAGCCTAACGCCAGTTGTGACAAACTTACTGGCCTCGATTCTCGTTCGTCTCCTCACTGCAGAACGGGAATCTCGGATTAGGGAAGAGCAGACCGGTTTTCACCCAGGACGTGGCTGTATAGACCATATATTTACTTTGCGGCAGGTGCTAGAGCAGCGCCACGCATACCGCAGACCGACAATAGCTGTGTTCCCCGATTTCAAGAGTGCGTTCGATTCAGTCGATCGATCGATTCTGTTCGAATTACTTGCTCGAAAAGTTGTTCCCACGAAATATGTGAACATCTTACGTGCTCTATACGCGAACACTACAGGCCGCGTCAGGGTTTACGGTGGCCTATCGGATAGCTTTCCGACCACAAGTGACGTTCATCAGCGTTGTCCGATTACCCCGTTTTTGTTCAATTTCGTCGTGGATTCTATCATGGATTGTTCCTTTGCGGAATCTCACGATGTAGGCGTTGAACTGCTGCCTGGTGAAAGGTTAGTTGATCTAGATTATGCGGACGATATCGTCTTGCTTTTCGACAATGTTGAGGCGGCACAATCAACCCTGAATAGCCTATCCAGAGTGGTCCCATTATTTGGTATACACTTCGCAGGACCACCAGCCACTTGATGACCCCTTGACGCGTGCTAACGAGGAACCCGAGGTGGTTGATCAATTCACTTATCTTGGCAGCTGTATCAGCAATGATGGGCGCATAGAAACTGACGTGAGCTCACGCATTGCAAAGGCCAGAGCTGCCTTCTTGAACCTGCGTCACCTTTGGCGACAGAAGGGAGTTTCCCTTCGTCTGAAAGGCCGTGTATACAAGACCACAGTGAGGGCCGTTCTGCTCTATGGTAATGAAACTTGGCCCCTTCGGTCTGAAGATCTGAGACGCCTTCAAGTCTTTGATCATCGTTGTTTGCGAAGCATTGCTGGTGTCGGATGGCACCAGCGTGTCCGCAACGATGATGTGCGTAGGCGAGTACTAGGTGGTGATAATCATGTTAATTCCCTAAAACAACAGATAGCACTGAATAAGTTACGTTGGCTCGGGCACGTGCTACGTATGCCTGGTCACCGCTTACCTAGGAGGGCCTTGTTCAGTCTGCCAGGTGTAGGATGGCGCAAGGCTCGAGGTGGACAGAAGTTGACTTGGCAGCGTGAAATAAAGTCACTGACGACCAAACTGGGTGCCGTTGGTCCGTCTCGCCTTCCGGGTTGGAGTCCACGTGACTCACCTTGTGCTTGGCTCGAGACTTTACAGGACATGGCTCGCAGCCGACACCAGTAGCGCGTCTGCTGCCGTCTCCTAATCGGATTGTCTGTTTAAAGTGTGTTTGGTGCTGAGTTATCTGCGGGGTAATGGCTGATTACGATGCGTGGCAGTGAAAACCGCAAGGAAGCTGTCTCGCCGATGCCGCCTTATCTTTGCACGGTAGCCAGCTGTTTGTGACGGTATGTTGTCTACACAAGGTGTAGGCGCCTTGACCCTGAATGTTTGCTTAGGGCATTAAGGTTTTCAGGTTAGTCCCTCTTCTCTCCCTCTTCTTATTCTTTATTTAATAGTTCCTCATGGTTGTATGGCAGCGAAGCATCAGTTCAAATGGCTGATGTACTGCTGTTGATGATGATGATGATGATGATCGATCTGCTCGGTAGAGTCCTCGCTACCCAGTTATGTCCGCTGCTGGAGTAAGTCAAAATCGCTCCTATGATAGTATGGAAACTTTTACTCCAATTGAACCTGAATTCCGCCCCACGTCCCCACCAACTTCACTCACTATTTCTCAAGATGGCAGCTCAATACATAGGTGAGCCAATGTGCCAAGTGTTCCGTCGCTCGCTCGCGAATGGTCGCTTACTATCTGACTGGAAAGTAGGCGTAGTAATACCGACACATAAAGGAGATAACCGACACGATCCTGCGAACTACCGGCCGATATGCTTGACCTCTGTCGTCTGCAAAATCATGGGAAGAATTCTAATGTGTGCCCTACACATTCACTGCGAATGCGCTCGCGTTATCTCCCACTCAGCATGGATACCGCAGAGCCCGGTTCAGCATAACTACTTTGCTTGTTACTAGAGAAGCACGAGTCGGTGCATTAGATGGGAGGAGATTTCAGCAAGGCATTCGATAAGGTTCCACACAAACGACTGCTGCTTAAACTCCAGATGATTGGAGTCGGTTGAAATGTCCTATTTGGGGTAGAAGACTTTCTCCTAGCTCGGACCATTCGAGTGAAAGTAAACCAAACGCCCTGTGTTTATGACTAGCGGGGTTCCCCAAGGCTCCGTCTTCGGGCATGAACTTTTCAAACTCTACATTAACGACCTCCCTGCGACATTTCAACATGACTGCCTACTCTATGCATATGACCTCAAACTATGGTTAGAAGCATCTAGCCTTGAGGACGCCGACAGGCTGCAAACATCACTTTCCCTGCTGCATGATTGGTCCGTCAGGTGGGAACTTCCTTTTAACCGTGACAAATGTGTCGTTCTCCCCATTGGGAGTGTGGTTCCGTTCGGTGTATATCACATCAGAGGTTATCTCAAGGCATCATCATCAACAGCAGTACTTCAGCCATTTGAACTGATGCGTCCCTGCCATACAATCATGATGACCTATGGAATAAAGAATACTAAGAGGGGGTGAAGGGGGACTTACCTGAAAATCTTAATGCCCTAAGCAAACATTCAGGGTCAAGGCGCCTACACATTGTGTAGACAACATACTGTCACAAACAGCTGGCTACCGTGCAGAGATAAGGTTGCATCGGCGAGACAGCTTCCTTGCGGTTTTCATTGCCCCGCGTCATAGTCAGCCATTACCCCGCAGATAACTCAGCACCAAACACACTTTAAAAAGGTAATCCGATTAGGAGACGGCAACAGACGCGCCACTGGTGTCGGTTGCGAGCCATATCTTGTAAAGTCTCGAGCCAAGCACAAAGCGAGTCACGTGGACTCCAGTCCGGAAGACGAGATGGACTAGCGGCATCCAGTTTGGTCGTCAGTGACCTCAGTGAACACACTAAAGTAAGTCGCGGCTGCTAACAGGATGCTGGGGGCCCTACCAAGATCCTTTTCTCAAATCTCGCCGGAGATCTTTAGAACCTTGTTTATTTCACATGTTTGCCCAATCCTGAAGTATGGCCTTCCAGCTGTCCATCCCCTCTCGGAACATTAATGTGCCCTCGAAACCTGTCTCGGAGCTTCACAACCTCAGCTACCCTTTTCGAATTCAGAAGCTTAATTTGTTCCCTCTGGAGTATCGCCGCCGTCGAGGGATCTCATTTAGACCAGACTGATCCTAAGGGGGAGAACTTGGGACGGACCTACAAAGACTCTTTTTATTCAAAGTGGATATTTCAACGCGAGGTCACAAGTAGAAGCCTTTCAAACGAAGAATGCTTTTCGTCCAGTATAATGCTACCCTATCTACCCGGGTGGTGAACGATTGGAACGGCTTACCAGAGAACGTAGTTGATGCACAGACTGAGGAACGTTTTAAGCGTCTGCTAGATTGCCACCTGATGAGTACCGCGGGTTCCTGCTACCACTATTGCAAATGTGAAGATCCCCAGAGGTGTGTCCACTCGCAAACATGAGCATTAATCTCGCAATGAACCGGAAGTAACGGAGCTGACAAGGGTCTTCCCTCCTGCTCTCTACACATCAATAAACCCCTTGCTCGCCACGTTAAAAATTTTAATAAATGTACTTCCAGTCACACGTCAGAACCTCGTACTATCGCTTTGCTGCGACACGACAACCAACGGTGGCATGCGGACCAACAATACTGCGCGCTTATCCGAATTGACGACCATACTAGACTAGTTCTACTTTCGCTTCATTCAGTCTTAATTATCCCTAAGGTCCCGGGATCTGTAACCGAGCTTTTTTGTTTTATTTACGACCAGATAATATTCAAGGAGCTTGTACTTGGTGCTAAGCAATGTCAGAGGCGGCTCTTCACTGCTTTTTTACTGCCTACGTCCACAACTTTGCTGCATGCTTCGAAATTCCCTTTAAAATTTCCTCATACCTTCTGTCGTATCGCATCGATCGATCCGGCTTTCTGACTTCATTGTGATGCTCAAAATGCGCACTGCCTATATTCCATTATCTTCAGTTTGAAGATCGGGGCGATAGCACTCTATGCGCTCGCAACAATGGGTACCATCACTTTTGTGCTAAGTTCTCTAGTTGGCTTATGGCATCGTTGTTAAGTCTGTATATCCACTTAGTCTTAAACGGTTTAACCGCCTCATCTAGGTTGTTTCCGAAACCCGGTCACCTTTGTAATCTGCCTACCCATGAGTGGCAGCAACGCCGTTGCTTTTTAGGATCTTAAAATTACAGGGATGGACTAGCAAATGGTATTTGCTTAGATTGATCACCTGTTCCTCTCCAAACTCATGAGGTAAACTCACTCGCGATCTTCAGGCATTATAGGTCCGCTTCTTCCACACATTACGCGGGATGTTGCGCTCCTTGACCAAACCCCTCTGATGAACTAAGCGACCCTATATCGTTTCGCTATTACTTAATACACAAGAAAACATTTTGAATTGTCATTTGAAGAATAAGTGCTTTGACATGCCTCATAAGTATGAATAAAACACATTAACTTCTCCTCCCTCTGCTTACGTTGTTTTTTCGGGGGTTTCTAATAATTTACTCACTTGCAGGTTCAGAAATCGGGCCAACCTGCGTCCACGGAGGACATTACACGATTCTCAAAACTTTTTGAAGACCAAATTACCCTTGACTCCTTAGAAGTAAAGCAGTTAAAAATGTTATGCCAACTATTGTCCTTGCCTACCATGGGTCCGAGCAACTTGTTGCGGTTTCAGATATGGATGAGAGTTAGACAGCTGAAGGCGGAAGATCAAGTAAGTTAGCATCTAGTCAACAGTTTCAACCGCTACCATTTTTGATATTTTTGCCATCCGTTTTCATCTAGCTTCTACAGGTTACCCTACTCGTTTTTCCTTCATTTCTGGGTTTTTGTTTCTTACGTGGCCGTTTCTCGTTTACCAGTATGTGCGTTTCTGCTTCCAGCTTATCGCAAAGGAAGGAGTTGATGAGTTACCCGTTTGGGAGCTGCAAAGCCTGTGCCAGGAAAGAGGGATGCGCTCAGCTGGTTTAACGGTGGAGCGATTGCGCTCTCAGCTAAGTCAGTGGCTCACTTTACATTTGGAAAAGAACGTACCCGTCACCTTGTTGCTCTTCTCAAGAGCACTGCATGTTTCGAAAGCCTCCCTCGACGAGTTTCTCGTAAAAGAGGTACGCATTTAATCTTCAGCAGTTCCTTTACATTACCTTTGTTTGTTTCATGTTCGTTCCTATGAATTAGCTGTGAATCCAATACGCTAGACTCGCTTACTTTAATTAGTATCATCGCGAGGTAACCTACAGTTAGGGTCCAAATGAGGGGATTATCAAATTTTTTAAACTATTCGAAAATGGCCAATAAACGCTATAATCGCTGAATAAAATAGCCAATATTTAAGACGATTTCACGAATGCACTTGGCCTATAAACCGTGCCGTACTGTTATGTGTTTCTGATCGCCGGCGCTGTCTATCCCCTCTTCTTACTTAGATGAACGGCATGTGCCAACTCAACCCCTCTCCTGCTAACTTTTTTCTTCTCTACGCTGCCATCTGGCATTCTTAATCTCTCACCCAGTCTTGAGCATTTTCGTTAAGCGGTAGTTTTGGCTAGACGACTCGTGGACATACTTCAGATCTAATAGATAACTCATCGCGGCGCCAGTGAGTCCGCCACTAGCAGAAGTGGTCGAGTTCGTCATCGTCCACTCATTAATTTCACTACATACACGCAATCTTCACTATGTACCAATACTAGCTTCTAGTAGCTGATTATTATTTTCGATGCATCTCAACTAAATCTCTGGCACTCACAGCGATTTTTTACTTCCTATTCTTGGTGGATGAGAATTTCCCATTCCCTCCTTAGATGTTTAGTGTATGTAAAGGAAGCCTTCCCCTTACCAACGCACTCGGGATTTACCTTGTTTTGTCTTCAGTCGATCGATCAACAGCACCTGTATATCGGCACACAGCGACCCTACTACCGGGGAATCACAAAACGGAAGAGGTTGTCCGGTAAACAAACAGCAGGCATACAGGATTAAAGCGCGTACACTCTGTTTACAACCCATAATCACCAGCATTTATCTACTAATTGAGGCATTCATTGACCTCTTTATCGTCAACTTTGCTCTACTGTCAAATTTACTATACTCACACAGGCCGTAACCGAGCTGCTCAATAAGAGGACAGCAAACGTGCCAGCGATGCCGGTTTCGACCCGTTTTATGAGAACTCAACTCAATCACAAAGTAGGTCGCGTAGTCTCCAACTTGGAAAACGAGATGGGCCAACAGTACCAAGCAGTCTTCAAGTAATTCACCTCCTCACTCCCAAGTCTGTGGCTACCTCACTCAGGCTTTACGTTATCTTTGGTCCATTAATCAGAATAGATCCCTCCGTGGTTATCTGTTAGCCTGCATAACTATCATGGGCCCCAGTAATTGCATTTTATTCAACTTTATTGATTGGTCCAAGAAGACGTATTTATGATTGCCGCTTAATGCAGGTCCATGCACATCATAGCCGTGTGCACCATGGTGCCGCCCAATACTAGGCAACACTGGAAAATGTGTGGACACTGAATACCATATTGTGGGAGCAGGTGGCACTTTAAATATGTACAACTGTATCGCATTAAAATCAAACTTATTATAAAAGTATATGCCATTCATGCTAATCGAATCGTTCTTCAAGTTCTTATGTAGCAGTTTAAAATGTCACTTACAGTTTCACAAATGTACGATGTCATTTCTAGTGTGCAGTCGTCCCCTGAATCGAATGGTGGTGAAATATAACTTCAGCAACGTTTTAAACTGCTGTACAGATTTAGCCTCTGCAGCTTGTTCTGGCAGACGGTTCCATACGTTTACCACTCTCCGTTCGAAGCACAGGAGGTGGGGCAATCGTTTTATATCCGACACTACAAGCTATACCGGTGTCCGCGTGTGCTGCATGGTGTTCATAAGTGGAGTAGCGGCCTCAACGTGAGGTAGTCACTGAGATGTAATATGCGATAGCTCGTGACGAGATCGACTCGCACCCGGCGATAGGGCAAGCTGTCAAGACCTAGTGTCTCGCGCCGGTCTTCATACAGTAATCTTCGTAGACTTGAAAGGAGCCTGTTAACGTATTCTTGAATTTGTTCGACCTTCCGTGCCTCACGTCTGGTAATTGACCAATAGGCAGGTGTGGCGTACTCCAGTATTGGTCGTATGATGGAAGAGAAGAGGCGAATGGCGACCTTTTCAGCCCAAGTACAGAAACTGCGTTTGAGTGCCCAAAGCATGCGCAGTCCATTACGATATGGTCTGTACATGCTGTCGACGGACTTCACTAGAGTGCACCTAAGTCTTTCACGGAAGGCGTGGGATGTAGCATTTGGTCGTTAATGGTGTCCTCTGGTTTTGCGCAGAATGGCATTTTAATTGAGATTGTCTATACAATAATCTCATCTGTAACCGATGTAGTAGAGGAAGCCGCAATGCGTCGTCCTACTTGGCTGGTCCTCCAACTTTTATCAGGAGGAAGCCTATCAACGCGATATTCTTCCGACACTCCGATCTCACTAGAACTGCAGCCTTTAAAGCTGTTGATGTTATCAAGCGCAACTACATACTTGTGGAAATCAATGATAGTAAACCACATTACGACTGGATACTGCTTCAGTCATCACCTTGATTTCTCGGAACACGTGGGACATACTTGGGCGGTCGATGCTTGTACAGACTGACCATGCGACACTAAGTGCTTCTGAAGGTACGTTGAAATTACTTGGTGAATTGGACTGTTAAGTCAGATTTCGTGACTAGCAAATTCCCACAGCGTGTTTTGTGACGGACCAGCCTGGGCTGGACTTGTTGGTACTCGAGTGGATGGACGGATTGAGCTTACTTACCGAACAACCTCCTCGTGGTGCCAGCTGGGTAATTCGGGTTTTTCCCGTTCCAGCAAATGGTTCGGCAGCAGTGTCCCATGACCTGTTGGGTTTTCGCCTGACAAGCGCTCTCCCTATAAAAAGTCACAAATGTTTGTTTAACAACACTGTGACGTGGCGGATGTGACTCGCCACTAAATAAAGTCACTGCCCCTTGCCCTCCCTGAGAGACATTGCACTTCAAGGATGCGTTGGGCCCCTGGTCTTTCACGGACCGAAAGGTGCATGAACCATCTATTTTGTCACCAGCTCTTAACGGGTTGCGACGCCCTCACATCGCTCTGCTGCCTTGTAGGTTAGATCTTTGATCAGAGGCTCGGCGTAGGGCCCCCTAAGACAACCCTCTACTTCGGCCTGGGCAAGTGGGTAGTATCACGCCCACCGACGAATCATGGACCACACTGCTTACCACTGCTCTTTCTACGCCTATCACCTATGCTAACTCAGTGCTGGTTGAAGACCTTGGAAGCCATGGCTCAAGCTCGATGTCAGTGGCGGACGTGTGCATCAGTGTGTCACGGTGTCCCTGCTTGCTCCCCGTAAAAAACAAACTGGAAAAAAGGTTTCAAAAACTGAGTAGCAAACTGGACAAAAAAGGCTTCCGTTGCTGTTCTTTTCTTGTAATTCATACTGTTTTCCTTTTCAGCCATGATTCCGATGGCACAAAATCTGTACCACAACGCCTGGACCTTAACGTGGTGCGACGGTTTGTGTACCTCATTGACCCACTGAGCTATACTGGGTGGTGCCTACGAGCACCTTGAGACATACTCCTACCAGATTGGTCAATGATGAGAGGTCAGGCAAACTCAGTCTCCTGGTCCTCCAGGTTGGGAGTAGGAAATGGGATGGCGTCCATTTCTGTAAAACTATATCATTGCCACCTTCCCGCTGTCTTACCGACAAGCTTTTGAGCCAAAGACTTTGGATGAGAACCCTAATCGTCCTCCTGTCTAGGTCTAGACGTCTTGGCAGTATCCCAGCCCACATACAACCACGACTTTTCTTCAGACATAAACTTCCTGCATCGGTCGTTGCTCAGATTATCAAGGATCGCCTTATCTGCTGCATACAGCAGAGCGGATAAGCAAAAACATGCTACTGCTGGCTCCTCCCTTCTTTCTTTTCCACTGTTTCTCATACTCCCATTCCGACTAACTAACGTTCCTTCTAGAATTCCAAACTTAATTGATAGCGACCGAAGTGTCACTGGAGTAGAACCATCTGCAGCCACCATCCTACAAAACCTATCGGGCGTATATCGGCAAAAGTCTCTTATAAGTCCACGCCGTCCCGTTTCCATGGTGACGTTCAACGTTCGCACTCTAAAACAAAGAGGTCACTAGGCTGCACTCGCACGCACCTTGGACACACTGGGTATTGATGTGCGTTGTGTGTCCAACACTAGAATCAATGACCCTAATGGGATTTTTGAATTAACTGCACGCGGCTTATCCTTTCGTTATTGGTTGCACTCATCCGGAGACGCCGATGCAGCACTCATGGGTCATGCTGGTGTAGGTATCATTCACAGCTCCATGGCTGAGCCATTGTTGGTTGATTGTACTCCAGTGAACAGCCGTTTATGTGCAACTCGTTTGACGATATCAAACAAAGTTAATTCACGAAGTAGTAAAAAAACACTGTTCGTTCGCGGTTTCCGCTTATGTTCCCACCGACTGCAGTTCTAATGCTGTCAAGAACACATTCTATCACGAACTGAGCGCACTACTACGCAGTGATACTAGTTCAGATATTATAGTACTTGCAGGAGCTATGAACGCACAAGTAGGGCGTCTGAGCTCTTCAGAAGCTCAGCTGGGTGGTAAGTATGGACTTAACTCTGAACGGACTGACAAGGGCGAGAGTCTGATGCAACTGTGTGCGTAGCACCAGTTGTTAGTAGGACTACTTTTCGACACAGTGGGCGCCGAAGTGTTACTTGGCGTCCTCCTGTAGCTGGCCAGCGATGGACCCAAATTGACCACAAAGCCATAAGTCACAGGTGGTGTAGTTCCATCCTGGATTGCTGCTCGTACTGAAATACCTGCATCGACTCTGATCATTCCTTGGTGCGCTGTCGTTTCTCCATGAACTTTCCCGGGAAGCACACCAAGCGTCCTCTCCGATTGGCAACTGAGCGATTGTCTCAGCCCTCGGTCAGGCAAGCCTATCAAGACGTACTGCCTACCGAACTCTTGTTTGAATCACACTGAGCTTCAGTAGAATAGGAT